GAATGCTGTGTAAATTCCAATTTCGGAATAGCTTGATCAGAAAATACTTGCTACTCTAAACAGCAGTAAAAATCGTTCAAGCCGGGGAACTTGACCAAAACTTTATAATGTTCTAACTTTAACACTCAGATACCTGCTGATGGCACTGAATTTATTCAGAAGATTTATAACCCTGATAATCGGTTCTGTCCCACAAGTATAATTATTTAAACACTAAAACGAATGTCATACTTTAGGGTTGTGCTCAGATTTCTGGCTAAAGCTTTCTTCTTTTTAAACAACTAAAATAATATGCTTGATTTGAGAGAGTCAATGAACTAGAGAAATGCTGAATTGGATGTCAGCTTCCAACTCTATGAACATTCCATATTGAAATGGGGCGAAAAAAATCAATGAAAAAAATATGGCCTGATTCTTTACTGATACACGGCTTCTGTTCTCTGCAGATTTTGTTTTTCAGAACTGCCTCCAAAAGATGCAAAGAAATCTGTGATATCTCTGCTTTTCAAAACTATGTCAGAACATTGTGAAAACTGCTCATTAATGGCACCTTGAAGGCCTAATAGATTTTGCAAATATTTCCTTATTGCCTCGAGTCCTGAACCTTTTCCTTGTCCCTCAGAGAAAGAATTTTAATGTTGCTCCTTTCCCCTTTGCAGGCTGAAAACCGTCTGTAATACACACATTCCAAAGTTTTGAATTAATATTTTACTTTTCAGATAGTAACTTCAAAACATTCTTAAAGTAGTTCGTCTTCTGAGCAAGCTGTACTAATTGTGCAATTATAGCGTTAAGTAATCAGTGAAAATTGGTAAAAACCCCGAGTGTGATCCTGATTTTCCTACTACGATAAGTCTAGTTTCTTTTTATTTTTGCTCTGTGAGCCATCTGTGTGTGACTGCCTCCGAAGGACATCTTTGAGACGTTGAGATTTGTAGAAATTCCTTGTGCAGATGATTTACCTGCTAGGAAGACTAGAATTAAGACTAGCGCTGTGAGAAGTGCGGGACTAAGTGGGCCTGGAGTCCGATCCACCAGAGCACTGCTCATGTTCTTATCTTCCAATATGTTTCCAGATGCTGAAATTCAGATTAGCTTTATTCCTTCTATTATCTTTAGGCAACCTTGAGAAAGAATGATCATATGCAACTTGAATACTGGGGTAATTAAAAGTGCTAACAAACACTTTTCCTAGCTATAAAGCTGCACGCTTGTTCCAGGGGACAGAAGGTTATGGGGATGTGTTATGAAAGTCTTAGCCAGCAAGCCTCTGGATAGCTAACTTCCATTTCCATCCATTAGATGGGATGGGGAACGATGGCCTCTTTATGCCTTATGGACTTCAACTCCCAGAATTCCTGGCTAGCTCAGGAATTCTGGGAATTGAAATCCATAAGTCATAAAGGNCAATAAACCATCTTTCCAAGCAGCCTCCATGTCTCCAGTGTCTTCTTCCCCACTTGGAGCTGAACCCAGAAGGACATTTCTTTCAACAGAACTAAATGGGCTGAGATTTAAACTCAACTCGTGCAATATTCTATGCAATAAGCTGCAGTTTTTGATTGATGGCCTTGTATGCAATTACGTCACCATCAATTTTGAAAGCTTAGTTTCATATGGGGCATGGTGAAAGGAATACGGCGGAGAAGGACTTTCTCAGATAATTATAGGATTATTAATAAAGCACGGAAAATGATGCGCTCTTGTTACCACGAATTCCTAGCTGCCTGTCATATTTCTGCTCCTTTCGAGTCTTCATCGGGGGGGGGAACTTCAGGGAAGAAAAAAGAGCAATGAAGAAAAAATGTGGCTGCTCTTGGGAGCTTTGCCTGTTCCAAGTTATGTGGTTGGGTGGTATGACAGAGAGTCCTTGGAGGTTGAAATTGGTGCCAGAATAGATTTGCAATGAGGACTGTTATAAAGGATGCTGCAGAGAAGCATGTTTGCAGATTCTCTCCACTTCTGGAAACATCCCTTTAAAATCAAAACTTTTATTCATTCAAGAACAAAAATCCTTCAGCTGGTAGGGAATGGAAGAGAAACCAGCAATTGCTGTATCTATATCCCCACACCTTTCGGTCCTTAAAGTCTAATTCCTATTGGGAGGTTTACAATTAACTCTCCAATTAACCTTTTCAATCCCAGTGGCAATTTCCCCCATGATGCACTTGGGGCCTTTCCCAAAAGCTGAGCTGAAGGGTTACGAACTGAAGTGTGTTATGAATCGGGAGAAGACAGCACTGGTATGAAATTTAATATGCCCCTTTGTCGGTCTCTAGCCTCTATTGCCCATTTATCAAGTTATTATCATTGTTTGACTTCCCTCCAAGATCATGGATAACAAAACCCTAAGAGGTGGCATGTATTTCGAGGCTGTTCTTGAATAATGTTAAAACAAGTGGGAAAATACAACTTTAATATAGTTTTCTTACTCCTGCGCTAGTGATGAGATGCAAGTAAAGTTAGCAATTCTTGGCTGTTCAGGTCTGGTAGCCCTAAGGATATCAGAATATGTTGGTCCTATGGGAGATGCAAGTGAGAAAAAGCCCTTATATTATCTTCATTAAGATTAGATTAATATTTAGATATTTAGATAGATATTTAGATTAATACAACAGTGGCTGCATTTTTCTAGAAGTTTGCTCTGTAGGTTGCAAAAATCTAGCTGATTGATAAATGGTTCATGTTTACTACGTTTTTTCCCCTCTGCTGTTATCTAGTCCAGTCTTTACAATTTTGGTAGCCACTATTAAAAAGGACCTATGGTTTTCCTGGGGCTTTCACTAGAAATTTTTTAAAAATGACTCACCAAATCAGGGTTGATCTTCAAGAAAAGAATGTTTGAAATAGTCTTTTTATCTATACTGTTTTAAGATTTAAAGTTCTCTCTTTTTTTGCTTATTTTTCTCCTTTAATTCCAAAACATCCAAAAGAAGAGTCAGGGAAGCAAGGTAGATATTATGTGAATTTTGATGTCATCATTCAACTGTAGTAAAAGTTTGTATTAATTTGGGTCAACACTGCTTGCTCTGTAAAGAAAGCATTTGCAAGGAGTTTTAACATGATTTAACTAGTAAACTTTTAGAAGCTGCCAATTAAAAATCCCCAAATAATTCTTCATGTAGTGAAGAGGTGGGGAATTATGGCCCCTTTATGACTTGTGGCTGGCTGGCTTAGGAATTATGGGAACTGAAGCCCACAAGTCATACATAAAAGGCCATCGGTTCCCACCACTGATGTAATATAACCTTCTACATGTCTCCTCAGGAATAAGTGTTGCTAAAATCAGTGTACTTTATTATAAAGTAAGTACCTATAGGATTATGGCTGTAACCTGAGGTCATCTTTAAAACAGGCTCCTAGACCATGCTTAGTCATTTCTTTAGTGTAAGGGTGGATCAAGTTCAATAGGTTATGTGAGCTGAATGAAGTGTGATTTATTCAAGAAACATGATTCTAAGCCATAATGTGTCTTTTGGTTTAGCTTAGTGTGATGTTAACCACAGGTAGTGATTGGGGTCTATAGACTGTCACTTATAGCTTAGTCTAGTACATTAATTTTGCCACTATGGCTTATTACACTAACCATAAATCAAGCCATGGTTTAGAACAATATGTCAACACAGCAAGAGCAATAACAACCGAATAACTGCAATCTCATCTATTATTAGACAGGGAAGAAAGCCACAGGTAACCAAATCACAGTCTCAAAACAGCTTATTGTGAAGTTGATAATTTGGATTCATATATCAAAGTCAACATACTGTGGTTTTGGGATTTGGCCAATACCTAGCTTCAAAATATTTATTGGCAAAGTTTAAATAAATAATTCCTGGCTTTATACTCTCTGTTCAGCCCCACCTCTGTTTCCTGTTCCTGTAAAAGAAATGTATTCTCATTGTTTGTCAGACTCCTAGGGGGCCATGCAGGGGCAACTCTGTAAGCTGTGTTTTGAGTCCAAGTTTGGTTGAGTTCCCAGATGCCATGTGTTGAGTTTCTGTAGAAGGGTAATCCTATCTTTGTTATGTAGAGTAAACTAGCTAACTTCAATGGCCGATTGAAAAAGGTGCAGGCTATTAAGAGTGAGTCTGTTTCCTGCCTAAAGCATTTCTTCCTTTCTGATCCAGGGAAATATAATATTCTGCCTTTTCAATATTTCCCAGGGTATTTCATTTTTCTAGGAGAGGGTTGGGTGCTAATTTCCTACAATACATAAATAAATATGCCAAAGCAATGGGAAATCGTCCAATAACTGGCAGCATTTTACACTCTCTCAGTTGTGAAAGAAAACTAAGGAAGGTCAGACTTGA